ACATGATGTCCCTCTCCAAGGAATGGTCCCTCCTTGCAACATGCCCAAAGTATGTCAGACGAAGCCTTAGAATTTTTGGCTCCAAGGAGCCGCCTGGCTTCGCCCTCTCTAGGATGAACCTGTTTGTTCTCCTAGCAGTCCATGGTATATAAAACACTCTTCTCCAGTTCCACAGCTCAAAGGCATCAATTCTCTTTCTGTCATCCCTAGTCATTGTCCAGTTCTCTGATGTGTAGCAAGCAATTGCAAAGACTGTGGCCTGGATCAGGCACACTTTAGTCTCCAGACTGATGTTGTTGCTCTTCAGTACTCTGGAGAGGTCCCTGATCACTAATTTTCCCAATGATTTCCTGGCTGCTGTTACCAAGAGTGTTGATTGTGGAACTATGCAAACTTAAGTTGTTAACAGTCTTAATCTCTTCACCATAATGCTGCCAGTCAGCCCACTGGTGAGAATCTTTGTCTTCTTGATATTGACCTTCAATCCATATTGAAGGCTGTAGTTCTTGACCTTCCATAGCAAGTGCTTCAGGTCCTCCTCAGTTTCAGCAATCAGGGTTGTGTCATCCGCATAACATAGGTTATTGGTGAATCTTCCTCCAGTCCTGATGCCACATTCCTACTCATACAGCCCAGCCTTCTGGATGATCTCTTCTACATATAGATTGAAAAGGTATGGAGACAGTACACATCTCCGGCATACACACTTTCTGATTTTGAACTATACAGTGTCTCCTTGTTCTGGATTCTGATGATTGCCTGCTGGTCCAAGTATAGGTTTTGCATAAGCACAGTCAAATATCTGGGATTCTCATTCTTCTCAGAGTCAACCACAGTTTGTTTTAAAATTAGGAAAGGTGTGCGCTGAGGTTGTATCCTTTGTCCATATCTGTTTAATCTGTTTACTGGCAAATTATTTTAGAAGCAATACTCTCTGAATAAAAACGTGGCATCAGGATTGGAAGAATATTCATCAATAAACTTTGTTTTGCATATTACTTATTTTCAACCAAGACGAAAGAAATTGTATTTCTTTACCAGTTTTCTACTTGTGATTTAAATTTTTTTTGTTATCCACTTGTGATTTAACTTTTTTTTTGTTATTATTTGAGTGAAAGGTTACAAAGAGAATTAGTTTTTCTGTTTCAATTTGTGATTATTTGTTCATAAGGTCCAGGTGCTGTTTTATTTCTAATACATTATAGTTGTTGTTGTGTAGCATAGAATTCGGGTCTGACCCATAGCTGACCCTCCAGCAGGCTTTCAGAAGCAGTTAAACACCGGGGGGGAGATTGCCCATCCTTCTCTTACAATATAAATTATAATTTTTTTCATTAGTTTTTGCTTTATTTAGTAATATCCATTTATATAACATAGTTTTTAATATGTTGTACTTGACAGTAAACTATGAGCTTTTCATTATGATTAACTTTAAATAAGCTCACAAAATACTGTTATTGTTATGTGCCATTGAGCTGGAATAAACTCAAAGCTGACCCTCCAGTGGTTTTTCAGAGGCTGTAAATCACTCAGGATTACCTGTCTTTCTGCCATGGAGCAGCTGGTGAAGCCCAACAGCGTGCCTTAAGTTTGATAAAAATCCAAGTCTAGACTTTTGAGAAGATCTTATAAGCACAGGAATAAAAGTTGGGCATTTACAAATCTCTGGAGGAGAAGATTTCAGTCAAAGGCAGCTGTCTCAACAGTGGAGCCATAGCATGAAGGGGAAAACCACTGCAAGAATCAGTTCTGCTTTATGGCAGGCTTCCATCAGATTTCCAGGCTGTAAATCTTAATTGCAGCAGACTGCCTCCTCTCTTCTGTGGAACACCTGGTGGTCTTGAATTGCTAACCTTTGAGTTTATATAGTCCAACATGTAGGCTACTATGTTCATCAGGGCTCCTGCTTGAAAATTCATGAGTAGTGTAACAAGTCACAAGCTAGAGCTGTTTATTCAAGTAAAATGAAAATGCCAATACCTAAATATACAAAAGTTGAACTGTGCTGGTTGAAATGAGATTGGGGATGATGTGTAGGAGCAAAATCCAAGTCACTTGAAACTTCATGTCTTTCTCCCAGTGAGGTCTAGAAGGTATATCTTAAAAACAACTTATCTTTGGTTCGAATCCACCAGATGCTCTGCCGGGAAAGGAGGGATAATCTCCTCCTGTACCAGTCAGATCTGATTTGACGGTACACGTACACACACAAATAATAAGATAAAATTTAAAAAAAAACAACAATTTATCTAGCTAATACTTATAAAATCCCCTTGTGTCCACTTTAGCCTTGTTGTTGTTAGATGCCGTCAAGTCACCTGCTACTCATAGCAACCCTATGTACAGCATCTCTGAAGCCTGTCCCGTCCTGAGCCAGTCACACTGACTCCCACACACCTATACTTAATACCTCAGCTACTGTATCTATCCATCTCATCTGGAATCTTCCTCTTTTGTACGCTCCACTCTTCCAAGCATGATGTCCTTCTCCAAAGTCCAGTCCCTCCTGATCATGTGCCCAAAGTATGTGAGACAGAACTTCAAAATACCAGTCTAAAGGAGAAACTTGATTTCACCCTTTCTAAGACAGACCTATTTGTTTTCTTGGTGGTCCATGATGCGTTCAAGACTCTTCTCCACCACCACAACTCAAAGGCATCAATTCTTCTTCTGTCATCCTTAGTCATTGTCCAGCTCTCTGATGCATAGCAAGTAATTGTGAAGGCCATGGCCTGGATCAGGCACACCTTAGTCTCTAGACTGCCATCATTGCTTCTCAGTACCCTGGAGAGGTCCTTGACAGCATAGTTTCCCAAAGCAATTAATCTTTTGATTTCCTGACTGCTGGTGCCTAAAATGTTAATTGTGGAACCAAGCAAAGTGCAATTGTGAACAGTTTAAATCTCTTCTCCATCCTTCATGGTGCTGTCAATTAGCCCAGTGGTGAGAATCTTTTCTTCTGGATGTTGACCTTCAATCCGTATTGAAGGCTGTAGTCCTTGACCTTCTGCAGGAAGTGCTTCAGGTCCTCAGTTTCAGCAATCAGGGTTGTGTCATCCGCATAACATAGGTTATTGGTGAATCTTCCTCCAGTCCTGATGCCACATTCCTCCTCATAAAGCCTTCCTTCCTGAATGATCTGTTCTGCATATAGATTGAAAAGATATGGAGACAAGTCGCATTCCTGACACACTCCTTTCCTGATTTTGAACTATGCAGTGTTTCATTGCTCTGTTCTGAGGACTGCTTCCTGGTCCAAGTATAGGTTTTGCATAAAAGCACAACCAGGTGTTCTGGTATTCCTCTTCTCCTCAAGGTTAACTACTATTTGTTGTGATCCACACAGTCAAATTCCTTTGTATAGTCAGTGAAACACAGATAAACATTCTTATGGCATTCTTTGCTTTCTGCCAACATCCATCTGATATTGGTATATTGTCTCTAGTGACACACCTCTTATAAACCCAGCTTGTATTTATGGTAGTTCTCTGTCAATGTACTTTCTGAATAATCTTCAGCAAGGTTTTGTTCAGGGGCAAGAACCTTTCCCCAGTACTGCCTCACACAAAAATCTTTCACTGAATCTGATGCATGAGTTTTGAACTTACATCGTTCTAAATGAGAGACCAGCAGCAGCACAAGGTGCAAGACATCACAGAAGTGACTGTGGCCTAAGCTATCGTATCAAGGGTGGCTGGGGGAGAGAGATGCTGGACAGGGTAGGTGGAAGTACAAGGGATGCTGATGTAGTAGGAAAAGTGAAGGGACAAGATGCACACACCAGGGTGGGGGTGGGGGGTGGGGTAGGGACACACACACACACACACACACACATACACACTGAAGATATTGGATATTTCTGTAAGAGGTTGTGTCTTTCATCTGCTCCTTTTGGTAAAATGTTTCTCTCACAGATATTGTTCTAAAACTAAACATTCAAATTAAGACAGACTAGGAAACAACAAATGCTGGCAAGGTTGTGGAGAAAGTGGAACCCTTATTCTCTGTTGGTGGGACTGTAAAATGCTGCAACCACTAGGAAGGCAGTATGGCGCTTTCTCAAAAAGTTGGAAATAGAAATACCACTTAACCCAGCAGTTTCACTTCTGGGAATATATCGTAAAGAAACCAGAACTGCCACCCAAGCAGATATGTGCACACCCATGTTTATTGCTGCTTTGTTCACACTAGCAAAGAGTTGGAAACAACCTAAGTGCCCATCACCAAACAAATGGATAGAGAAGCTGTGGTATATTCACACAATAGAATATTGTGCGGCACTGAAAAACGAAGAACTCATGAAATATACAAAATGGGTAACCATAGAGGACATTATACTGAGTCAAATATCTCAGTCACAAAAAGGCAAAGACTGTATTATGCCATTTTTTTATAATGCTACTTTTATAAAACAGGACTGGCAGGGGAATTAGGGGAAAACTAAAGAAAGAGGATATAAACAATGTACACAGCATTGAAACAGATGAGGGGATGAACTGTATAAAAGGAATATATGATTAGGTATAATTGGCATGACAAGAGTCCAGAATAAAGCTGCATAGTAGAGTGACTGGGGGGCCGACTGTGTAACAATGGAAGAATTTTTTTCCCAAAGAAAAAAGTGAACTGGGCAGGGAGTGGGGGTGGGAGGAAAATGTGTACCAATGAATGAATGGAAATCCAAGTTATCTATAAACTTTTATTAAAATCTCAATTTAAAGAAAGACTAGGAAGAAGGATTGGCCATACACTTCCGAAATATAATAGGCCTTTGAAAACCCTATATACAATTGAGCCTTATCAGTAGTTAAAGGTTAAACAATCATTTTAATAGGGAAATATTTTCTTCATGTTTACAAACAAGGAAAGTTATTTTAAGAGATTTTCCCCCCTGTACTCCTTTCCAGAAAATGCTTTACCATTGAGTTTAGCAGCTAAAAGAATTGTACAACTTAATTGAGATTCTCCCTCTGACTTTCTTTGACCTTGTATTGTTTTAGCTTTTGGATGTAGTCACTCAGCTAGCAAAGCAGAATCTTCGATTGCTGGTCCTGGGCCGGAAACATATGCTAAATTACCATTCCCGATGGAGAAAGGATGAGATGAAAAAGGTGCAAAACCAAGCAAATTGCTTCTTTGCTGATAATATGTAAGTATTGAAAGTAATAGGTAAATAACAGTAGGCTTCAACCATCTACTAGTTTAAACACACACACACACACACATATATATATTCTTATATAAAAGAAAATATATATGAATGTGTGTGTGTGTGTGTATATATATATATATTTTCAACCTTGACTCAGAAAAAATACATCAACATTTTATAAGAATGTAGCTTCTACAGAGAGATAATAGAAGAAGAAACAACAAGAGTATAAAAGCAGGGGTGAGATTAGTAAACAGAATGCATGCCATAGGTCCAAAATCATCCATTCACCAAACAACAAATACAAGCAGCTTCTGTCTTCTGGAGAAATGGCAATGAGCAAGACAGAAGTCCTTACCCTTTTAGGACCTACAGTAAAAATCTGTCATCAGTTTGTTTCCAATTTATAGGGACCCTGTGTACAACAGAATAAAACACTGCCCGGTCTTGTACCATCCTGACAGTCCTTGTTTTGTTTGAGACCTTTGATGTAGTGAGGATCTGAATGTAATTCACTAGCCCTCTCTACTTTATCTAACCTGATGTCTTCCATGGCCTGGTCCCTCTTGATACCATGCCTAAAGTATGTGAGATGAAATCTCAGCATCCTCACTTCTGTGTGGTGCTCCTCTCAAGACAAACCTTCATTTTTCTGATAGTCCAAACAGTGTTTATTCTTCATCTACACTATGACCAGTGCTATGAAACTAATAAACCAGCTTGAGTAAATAGAAGAAGAGGGATTTTTCTAAGGGTGTAGGTCCAAAGGGAATAGATAGGGAGGTCAGGAAAGGTATTTCTGATGGGAAAGAGAACATACCAGTTAGAAGAAATTGTTAAGTGCCATCGAGTTGACTATCACTCATAGCAACCTTAGGAACAACAAATCTGCACTTTGCCCTACCCTGTACATCCTCATAATCTCTAGTGTGCCCATTTTTACAGTCACTATGTCAGTTTTCCTTGTTGAAAGTCTTTCTTCCTCTGACCCTCCACCTTTCCCACCAGTGTTTAGAAAGTTCTGAGGTAAGAATAAAGTTAGTGTGATTGTGGAATGGGAAGAAGGGAAGTATGGATAGATGATAGCAGCAAGAAAGCAAGCAGTGTAATAGTAGGTTCTGGGGTGAGAGAAAAAACAGGAACCACATTATATCGCACTTCATGGGCTATTTAAACAAGCAAGAGGCTTGAGATTTATTCTACATATAGAGAGAACATTTTTTTTTAAAAAGCATTTTTGAGCTACATGTTTTACTCTTAGCTTTCTAACAATATGTTCTTGTTGAAATATAAAATATAGAAAATATAAAAATTATCAGTAACAAAATTTAATGTCCAAATCACTAAAAACTGCCCAGATCATTAGCAGCACATCAACTTTTAATGTGCAATTTCAGACTATTTATATTACAGAAATTTGTCTCTGATTAACATGAATAATGAGCATATGTACCTCAAATCTCAAATCTAGATTTCATTAAGTTGAATATGATAATATCAAGATTTGACAGCATTCTCAAAACCGTTGACTTTTGTCCAAGCAACAAGAAGCAAACCCCTCATCCAGATCCCAAACTAGAGGGTGTTATTTTTTCTTCCTTCACAACAGGTATAAGTCTTCATTTTATTTATTCAGGGGATGGAGGAGTACTTCTATGTCTTCAATAGGAGAAGACAATAGTAATGCTTTTCTTTATTTTTTTTAATAGTAATGCTTTTCATTAAATCATTTCAAGCAACATGGATTGCCACTGGGAGAGCAGGCTTGGAAATTAGTCTACCCAGGCACATATCATGTCTCTGCCACTTCCTAGCTGGGAAAGTGTCTCTTTCATACAAAAATCCCCATGGGACTTTTATTAATATTAAATAAGATAATACATGTAAGTATATATTTCCATCAAGTTATTTGACACGTAGGAACCCTACAGAGAACTTCCCTATCTGGTTTCCAAGGCTGTAATCTTTATGGAAGCAAGGTGTCACAATTTTATCCTGTAGAACAGTTGGTAGGTTCGAACTACTTACCTTTATGTAAATAACACAGGTCAAATTTTTGGCATAGCTCTGCATGCTAAACGTGTGTTAGTTAACATTATCATATTACAGGACAATATCAAATACAGAAACAGTATAGAACAATACTTATTACACATACTATATTCTTGAAGATTATTAAAAACTGCTGGAACAGTACATTGACAGAGCTGTCAAAAATTCAAGCTGGATTTAGAAGAGGCTGTGGAATGAGAGATCATTGCTGCTATCAAATGAATCTCCAATAAAAGCAAAAAAATACCAGGAAGACATTTACTTTTAGTTTTCTTATATGTAGAAGCATTTGACTTTGTTTGTTGTTATGTGCTGTCAAGTCACAATTCATAGCGACTTTAAGTACAACAGCTTTGACGCCTGCCCTGTCCTGAGCCAGTCTCACTGACTCTGACATACCTACCACCATTGCCCTCATTACTGTATCAATCCATCTAATCTGGAGTCTTCCTCTTCTGCACTGTCCCTCCATCCTTCCAAGCATTATGTCCTTCTCCAAGGACCTGTCCCTCCTGACTACATGCCCAAAGTATGTGAGATGGAGCTTCAAAATCCTAGCCTCTAAGGAGAACCTTGGTTTTACCCTTCCCAAGACTGACCTGTTTGTTTTCTTGGTGGTCCATGGTATGTTCAAGACACTTCTCCAGCACCACAACTCAAAGGCATCAGTTATTTTCCTGTCATCCTTAGGCATTGTCCACTTCTCTGATAAATAGCAAGTAATTGTGAAGACTATAGCCTTGATCAGGCACACCTTATAGACTGACATTGTTGCTTCTCAGTACTCTGGAAAAGTCCTTGACAGCAGATTTACCTAATGTAATTCGTCTTTTGATCTCCTGACTGTTTGGTGCCAAGAGTGTTGATTGTGAAGCCAAGCAAACTGTAACCGTTAACAACCTCAATCTCTTCTCTATCCATCATGCTGATGCCAATTGGCCCAGTGGTGAGAATCTTTGTCTTGATGTTGAGTTTCAATCCATATTGAAGACTACAGTCCTTAACCTTCTGCAGCAAGCACTTCAGGTCCTCCTCAGTTTCAGCAAGCAAGGTTGTGCCATCTGCGTAAAGTAGGTTGTTGATGAGTTTTCCTCCAATCCCGATACTACATTCTGCCTTATAAAGCCCAGCCTCCCTAATGATCTGTTCTGCATATAGATTGAAAAAGTATGGAGACATGACACATCCCTGACTCACTCCCTTCCTGATTTTGAACCATGTATTATTTCCTTGCTCTGTTCTGAGAATTGCTTCCTGGTCTAAGTATGTTGTTGTTGTTGTTGTTATGTGCCATTGAGTCACCTGCAACCCATAGCGACCATGTGTACAACAGCCCTAAATCCTGCTCTATCCCACACCAATCTTATTGTCTCTGACACACCTACCCCCATTACCCCAGTAACTGAATCAATCCATCTTATCAAGAGTCTTCCTCTCTTGTACTGTCCCTCCAACTTCCCAAGCATGATGTCCTTCTCCAAGGACTGGTCCCTCCTTGCAACATGTCTCAAGTAAGTCAGACAAAGCTTCAAAATCCTTGCCTCCAAGGAGTAGTCTGATTTCACTCTCTAGGGAGAACCTTTTTTTTTCCCTGACAGTCCATGGTATATTCAGTACTCTTGTCCAGCACCACAGCTCAAAGGCATCAATTCTCTTTCTGTCATCCCTAAGTCCCTGTCCAGCGTTCTGTTGCATAGCATGTAATTGAAAAGACTGTGGCCTGAATCAGGCGCACCTTAGTCTCCAGACTGACGTCATTGCTCTTCAGTATTCTAAAGTGGTCCCTAACAATAGCTTTTCCTAATAAAATTAATCTTTTAATTTCCTGGCTGCTGGTACCAAGAGTGTTGATTGTGGAGCCAAGCAAACTAAAGCTGTTAACAATCTCAATCTCTTCACCATCTCTCATGATGCAATCAGTCAGCCCAGTGGTGAGGATCTTTGTTTTCTTGATGTTGAGCTTCAATCCATATTAAAGGCTACAGTCCTTGACCTTCTGCAGCAAGAGCATCAGGTCCTCCTCAGTTTCAGCACACAGTGTTGTGTCATCTACAATGCAGATTCTTGATGAGCCCAAGTCTAGGTTTCACATAAGCATAATCAAGTGTTCTGGGATTCCCGTTCTCCTCAAGGTTAACCACAATTTGTTGTGATCCACACAGTTTGACTGTGTAGAACATTATAAAACACTGATAACATTTAGAAGAATGGAAATTCCAAAACATTTGAATTGTACTCAAGTGGAACAGTCCATGGACAAAGAAACAGTCATTTAAACAGAACAAGGGGATACTTTATAGTGTAAAATCAGGAAAGGTTTGCATCAGGATTATACTTTTTACCTGTTTAATATGTATGCTGAGCAAATAATCTGAGAAGTTTGATTAAACGAAGAAGATCTTGGCATCAGGATTGGAGGGAAACTTGCTTGCTTGCTTGCTTGCTGAAGGCGAAGAAGACTTGAAATGCTTGCTGCAGAAGATCAAATATTATAGTATTTTCAAACAAACACTTGAAGAAATGTTCAAAATCCCTAGCTGTCAGAGGTATGCAAATAAAAACAACTATGAGATATCATTTTACCCCAACAGTAGTAGCAACATTCAACAGAGTGCAGACAGTGCTGGTGAGGTTGTAGAGAGATAGGAACCCTTATTCACTGCTGGTGGAAGTATAAAATGGTACAATCACTATGGAAAGTGGTTTTGCATTTCCTAAAAAAGTTAGAAATACCATTTGACCCAGCAATGCTACTACTGGAAATATAACCTAAAGAAACTAGAGCCACCACTCAAACAGATGTATGCACACCCACGTTTATTGCTGCGTTATTCACAATAACAAAGAGATGGGAGCAACCAAAGTGGCCATCAACAAATGAATGAATAGAAAAACTATATTCATACAATGGAATACTATGCAGCACTGGCGACCCTGCAGGGCATTATGCTGAGTGAAATATCTCTGTCACAAAAGGACAAATACTATATAGTACCACTCTTATAAAGTAAGTTTGACATGAGGGTTTGGGAGGAGAATAGGATCAGAGTGGACAGATAATGAGCATTGCACTGAAACAGATGAAGGGAAGAACTGTTTAAAAGGAATATATGATCAGGCATTATCTCTGTGGCAATAGCTCAGAATAAAAGGTGCATTGCAGAGAGGACTAGGGAGAAGGAGAGAAGGGAGGTAATTGTGCACAATGAATGAATGTTGTTTTTTTTTTTTAAATGAACTGGGAGAGGGGGTAAAAATATGCAACAATGAATGAATGAAAAAAAAAACCCCACCCTATAACCTTTAATATGAATCCCGTCTCAACATCAAGAAAACAAAAATCCTCACTGCTGAACCTGTAAGCAGCTTCATGATAGATGGGGAAAAGATTGAAGTTGTCAGCAATTTCATTTTACTTGAATCCGCAGTCAACCTAGAGTAGCAGTCAAGATATCAATGGGCAAATCTGCTGTCAAGAATCTCTTTAACAGGGGAGCTCTGGTGGCCTAGTGGCAAGGAACTGCAACTACAATCCCAGAGGTGCACGGTTCAGATCCACCAGATTCTCTGCCAGGGAAGGAGGGACAATCTCCTCCTGTACCAGTCAGATCTGATTTGACGGTACACTCACACAAAAATAATAAAATAAAAAAAAGAATCTCTTTAACATATGGTAGAGCATAAATGTCATTTTAAAGACTAAAGTTTGCCTGGCCCAAGCCATACTATTTTCTGTTGCTTTGAAGACTGAAGAAAAATGGAGAGCTCTAAGTTGTGGACTTGGTGAAAAGTATTGAATACACTGTGGGTGGCCAAAAGAATAAACAATCTGTGTTGGAAGAAGTGTGGCCCGGCTTCTCCTTAGAGGTAAGGAGGATTCCTTTTCCTTAGAAAAGGAAATCCTGCTTGGAAAAATAAGCATCAGCAAGAAAGAGGAAGACTCTCAACAAAATGGAATAACCCAGTAACTACAACAGTGGGTTTACCCTCAGCAAAAACTGTCATCATGGTGCATGATCCAGCAGGGTTATGTTCCACTGTACACTGGGTAAGAGTCAGAGATGGCTTGATGGCACTTAACAGCAAAACCTTATCATCATCATTATTTTAATGCAAAAAAAAAACTGTTTTAATCAAGAGTCCTGTTGGAAACTGGCCTTACAGTTTCGTTTGGATTCTATTTTTGTTGTACCAGCTATTTGTAAGGGTTGAATCAGTGATCATTTAAGGCCTTTAGTGGCCTAGTGGCAGGAAGCTACACTGCAATCCCAAAGGCACATGGTTCAAGTCCATCAGGTGCTCTGTGGGAGAAAGTCTCCTCCTGTGCAGTTAACTACTTCTGAAAACCTACCAGAGGGACAGCAAAGAATCAGTTTTGACTCAATGGTACACAACAACAACGTTTGGATATTTATATTTATAACAATATCTGTTTGTTTAAAAAAGTATCATCATGCCTTGTGGTGGTGGTGGTGTTGATGCTATCGAGTTGAGCATGACTCATAGTGACCCTATGAACAAAAGGCCTGAAGCTTTTCTCTATCATCATTTATCAATGTTCATAGAGTTTCCAGAGACATGTTGTTTAGGAAGTAGATGCCACTCCTGCTTCCAACATGCCTTAGTAGTGTTTTATTTTAGGTGAGGGAAAGAGAAAAACAGTGTCCTCCTGCAGAAGATGTGGCAAACACACAATTGCCCCTAGGAACACAGAAAACTAGCTGTTGAATATGAAGTTTGTTAGATACCTTCATTACAGTGCACAAATCCAGTTGAATTGTGTGAGCATTATTCATTAGCATTCCATCCCCTTAAATTTCCATCTGTTTTCTAGATGGTATTGCCTGCCCTAAAATCTTCCAAGTAAATAATAAATGTTCCTACAGTCAAGTCTGTCAAGCTTTTAGAGCACCACAAAAGAAAACAGAAGACTAAAAGACCTGGAGAAGAAAACTGCTTTCTGCCTCCTCAGGGCTTTGCTTGATTGTGTGTTTTCTCATTGCCTGGCTTAGCTCAGAGGATGATCCCTTCCTTCTGTACGCCACACTGCACTCAGGGAACCACTGCAAGTTTATTACAAAAGACCTGATGCGGGACCACAAAGCTTGTCTGCCTGATGCCAAGACTCAACGCCTCTTCTTTAAGTGGCAGCAAGGACATCAGCTGGCAATTACTAGTAGGTTTCCTGCATCAAAACTGACTTTTCAGGTATGTTATCTGTTCTCTGAATATTGTCAACAGAGTAAAGTAATAATAAGAAAGTGACATAGTAACAAAATGTTGCAGCTAGCTGATTTTTCTGAATGTTTTCTTTTTCCTAAGTTCACTTCTAGGCAGTTCCTAGAAGCAGTGTCTCTGCCACAGCAAAATTTTCATAGATCTTTACACTAAATTAATTGACATACTGAAAATACCTAGGATGTTATTGGTGATCTCAGTTATGACTTCTCATTTATGGGGGGAGGGGTTTCTCCTCAGTTTTTTTTCAATAGCTCATGATTGCTTGTCCTTTATGATTAATCTTTATACTTCTACTTCTGCTAAATAACCCCTTTTCCATGTTTAAAACACTTCTCTTGCATGTGTCTTAGTTGAGTTCTCCTTTGCTTCTAATTTTCTGTTGTATGCCATTGAGTTGATCTTGACTCATAACAACCCTGTATGACAGACTGTCCATAGAGTTTCTGGGGCTGTAACTTTTTACAGAAGCAGATTATCACTTCTTTTCTCCAGAGGTGTTTCTGGTGGGTTTGAACTGCTAACCATTTGTTTAGGAGCCAAGTACTTAATCATTGAGCCACCAGGGCTCATTTACTCTTGACTTTTTGTTATTCTATGCTGTTGAGTAAATCCTCTCTCATAACAATCCCATGTTACAGAGTAGAACTCCCTATACAGTTTCCTCAGCTAGAATCTTTATAGGAGCAGACCACTATATCTTTTTTTCCCATAGATCACCTAGTGGATTTGAACCGTCAGCCTTTTAGTTATCAGGCAGACCACCAGAATTCCCTAATTCTAGTTTAAAGTCGTTCTCGTCATGTTGATTCTGACTCATATTCTACTATAAACCAATCCCACCACTGAGTTAATTCTAATCCATAGCAGCACTGATGGACAGAGTAGAACTGTCTCATAACATTTCCAAGACTAGAAATCTTTACAGAAACAAACTGCCACATGCTTCTCTTGTGGAGCAGCCAGTGAGTTTGACTTATGAACCTTTGGTTAATAGTCACCACAAAGATGCCTCTTCGGTAAAGAAGAAAATCCAAAGGCAAGTTACTATAGAAAAATACACTGGTCCATGTCAAAATATGGTTCAGAGGTCAAAAAATATACAACAGGTTTACAGGAAATAAGGTATCAGGTGATACCGCAGGAGTATACTCAGTAAGGTAAAGACAGAGAAGACTATGGGGAAAAAGGACAACTGATTGAGTGTTTTGAACAATAAGGAAAACAAAAATTTTGAGAGAAAGATATGTAATGGAAAAGAAATCTCTAGATTAAAAGAAATTGAAGAAATGTTTCATTCACCATATAATTATTTCAATTCTGGTTCAAACAAAGACTAAAATGTATAAAAACATATATATATACACACACACACACATATCAGGGAGATATAAAGAGTAAAAATTTTATGCTGCTAAGGAATTATTCTGAGGAGTTATTTTGGAAGCAAGAATGGCATCCAATTCCTAAACATGCCTCTGGAAACTCTATGAACTTTGATAAATGACAATAGTTATAGAAAGGCTTCAAGCCTTTTTTGCTCATAGGGTCACTATGAGTTGTGCTCAGCTTGATGGCAATCAACAACAACAACAAGGAATTATTCTTTTTAAATAAAATAATGTTATCATTAAAAAGGTAAAAATCAAACATTTAAAAATAATGAGTCCCAGGGGAGCTCAGCCTAGTGGCAAGGAGCTACAACTATAATCCCAGAGGCGCACGGTTCGAATCCACCAGATGCTCTGCTGGAGAAGGAGGGACAATCTCCTCCTGTACCAGTCAGATCTGATTTGATGGTACACTCACACAAAAATAATAAAATTAAATTAAAAAAAAGAGTCCTTATCTTTCAGAGATCTACCCTAAAATACTTTTAAAAGAAATGACATAAACATTTACGACTTGCTTCAAAATCATTTTGGATGTGAAAGGGACCAAAGAATTAGGTAGTAAATAAGATTAACCAGGAGTTGATAGTGGTTGAATCAGGATGATGGACACATGAGAGTTTATTATACTATTTCTCTACTTTCGTATATCTGAAATGTTTATATATATATATTTTAATCACACATAAACCCAGTAGAGCCAACAAAACAAATTCTTTATCCTGTAAATATAATGTTCCTCTCAAGAGTATTTAACATTAAACATTGAATCCCAAAAAATAACTAAATAATAAGGTTCATCTTTGCAAGATTAGCCACTATTTAAAAATCCACTGTGGAGAGGTTTTTTTAAAATAAAAAATTTTTTAATTAATTTATATTGGTTTGCTTACAGAGTTCATATACATTGTTTTTCACACTACTCTTCATTCATTGTGTTTCATACAATTGTTCCCATTCATTATATTTTCATTGTGGGGTTTTTTTTGTTTTTTCTCCCCTCCTCCTCCTTCTGCCTCCACTTCTTCCACTCCCCCCTTACCCTTTCACCTTCCCCTTTTGAACAGATGGGTGGGAGATGTAAAGGAATAGAGAAGATACAGTGGAGTTTTAATAAGACAGGATGATAAAAGACATTGATTAATAGTAATTAAGTATATAAAACACAATGTATATGAATTATTATAAGGAAACCAATTTTTTAGAAAAAATCCATTGTGAAGTAAGTGATGAAAAATGCCGTTGAAGGAAACTGAGAAGTTGTGGGAAGAGAAAGGGAAATGTCCAGGTAACCCAGTAATATTATTATCATTGTCTGGTGTTCTTTTTTAATTCAACAGCATGTTTTCTGCTATGACACAGTGGTACAAACAACTGGAGACTCATGGCATATCCCGTATGATGAAGACCTGGTGGAAAGATATTCCTATGAACTGCCTAACAAATGGCTTTGCCTTCAGCGGAAGACATAAAGACTCTTACCCTCTCTGCTAAGTTTATGTCTGAATGATCTCTTTAATGACCACAGAGCTTTTAAATTGATATTTGTTTGAGGTATTACCTATGTCCTGAAGATAAAAGTATTCTGTTTGATCCAATTCATTTGTATGTCAACAAATTGATTTCTTAATTAAATGAGATATAAGATCTTTTCATAACCGGTTGCATGTTTCTCCCATCTGTGTTATTTCTGTGCTTAAACCTGCTCATTTTTCTATTTTAAAAGATAACATCACAGAATTTAAAAAAAGATAACATAATTGTTGTTGTTGTTATGTACCGTTGAGTCGTTTGTGACTCATAGCGACCCTATGCACAACAGCCCTAAACCCTACTCTATCCTGCGCCAATCGCACTGCTTCTGACACACCCATCCCTATTACCCCAGTCACCGAATCAATCCATCTCATAGAGGGTCTTCCCCTCCTGCGCTGCCCCTCCACCCTCCCAAGCATGATGCCCCTCTCCAAGGACCCGTCCCTCCTGGCAACATGTCGAAAGTATGTCAGATGAAGCCCCAGAATCCTTGCCTCCAAGGAGTAGCTTGGTTTAATCCTCTCCAAGATGAATCTGTTTGTTTTCCTGGCAGTCCATGGTACATTCAGTACTCTTCTCCAGCACCACAGCTCAAAGGCATCAACTCTCCTTCTGTCCTCCCTAGTTATTGTCCAACTCTCTGATGCATAACAAGCGATTGCAAAAGACCATGGCCTGTATCAGGCACACCTTAGTCTCCAGAGAGACACCGTTGCTCCTGAGTACTTTAGAGAGGTCCCTAAGCGCAGGCTTTCCCATCGTGATACGCCTTTTTATTTCCTGACTGTTGGTGCCAAGAGTGTTGACTGTGGAGCCGAGCAAACTGAAGCTGTGAACAATCTCAATCTCTTCGCCATCCATCCTGACGCTGCCAATTGGTCCAGTGGAGAGAATCTTTGTCTTCTTGACATTGAGCCTCAGGCCATACTGAAGGCTGCAGTCCTTGACCCTCTGCAGCAAGTGCATGAGGTCCTCCTCAGTTTCAGCAAGCAGGGTTGTGTCATCTGCATAACGCAGATTGTTAATAGATCTTCCACCAATCCTGATGCCACAGTTCTCCTCATAGAGCCCAGCCTCTTGGATAATCTGCTCTGCATACATATTGAAAAGGTATGGAGACAGGATGCATCCATGGCGTACACCCTTCCCAATTTTGAACCATGCAGTGTTACCCTGCTCTGTTCTGACTACTGCCTCTTGGTCCAAGTATAGGTTTTGCATTAGCACAATTAAATGTTCTGGGATTCCCATTCTTCTCAGAGTCAGCCAAGTTTGTTATGATCCACACAGTCAAATGCCTTTGCATAATCAGTGAAACACTTAAACCTGCTCATTTTTCTATTAGAAAAGATAACATCATATAGCCTCGTTAACCCATAATAAATAAAACCTATTTCTAAGTGGTATCACAGGCTAGAGGGGCATCGTTTGAGTGGGAAGAAGATACAATTAAATCCGTAAGAATATATAAGTAATAAATAGAGATGTATTTTGTACAGATAGACACATAGAAAGCTATTTCACACAATTACAACAATCATATATGATGGTGAAATTTTGGATAATACCAATATTTTTCTTGAATTGTCTATATTACGTGGAAGAAAATTTTTATAACACCTAGTTGAGGAGGAGAATATGATAGGAAGCAGCCAGTTATAGTATGACTGGGGGAAAACCTTCTCATTATATATTTCTTCCTTGTTTACTAGTTTCACCACTGCTGAGTGACAGAAGTGTCTGCTACATTTAAAACATTGATAATGAGATTAATAAAGCTCTAAAAAAATAAAATCTGCTTATTTTCTAAATTTCAGGATCTCTATACTTAGAAAACTGTTTCCAGCAAGCTAAAATTTTCTTTTAAAAAAAGAGTATCTGATTTTAATAGAAAGTAAAAAGCATTTGTTAAGCTTGGCTAAAAGCTTTAGTGCAGCTTCCTTACAAGAAGCACACAAATGTGGGGCAGGATACAAGAGGAATTGTAAAACTTTAGAGCAGGAATGAACCTTGAAGAGCATAAAGTTCATCACTCTCGTTTAGACGATAACAAGGTTCATAAACAACAGCTAATTAGTGGAATCCATTACTCCCTCCATTTGATTTCCAGTCAAATATTCTTTTTCCTGTTACATATGTGCCTTCAACTAGGATTATTCATTGAACACTCAGATTGATAGAACAACTCTCTCACTAGCATTTGAAAAATTTGTTGTCCTCCACTTACAGGAGAGAAAGTGAGAGGAAGGATACTGTCAAAAGCCTTTTGAAGTGTTCAGTGTTCCAGAATGGCTCACCGATATGGAAAACTGTGGTAGGGAAATTACAGTATTCTTGTAATCTCTTTAATATCATTCAGAAACAAAATCCAGGTTGTGCTTTAAGGAAATGTTGGAGCTGCCGAGAGGCAGTGACACATGCAGGGATCTTTGAACCAATTCCTTTGGGTTTCTCATTTATATTCGGATCACCTAAGTGGGACAAAAGCTACCAAACAGGATCCAAGAACCAACAGGGAGGAAAATTCTTTTTAAAATGTGCTATAGTGTGTTGTTTTGTATTTTTTAAATTTATTATTAATTTCAATGAAAATTTACAGAGACTCTGGGTTTTCATTCATTCATTGTTGCACTTTTTCCCCTTCCAACCCTCCCCCCTAATACACTACCCTCTTGGAAAAGTAAAAGAAAAAGTCTTTCATTGTTTTACAATCTCTCCCCCCAGGTCCACTGCACTATGCAGCCTTCGCTCTGGACTCCTGTCATGACAAAAATACCTAATCACATACCCCTTTTAAACAGTTTTCTCCCTCATCTGTTTCAATACAGTATACATTATTGAACCCATCTATGTCAGTCTCCCCCCAACCCCCAGGTCAGTCCTGCTTTACAACAGTGGCACCATGAGTATTTGTCCTTTTTGCCTGAGATACTTCACTCAGCATATGTCCTCCAGGGTCACCCATTTTGAATAATATTGCATGAGTCCCTTGTTTTTCAGTGCAGCATAGTATTCCATTGTGTGAACATACCACAGCTCTATCCATTTGTTTGTTGTTTTTAAAGTCAATCAAATATATAAGATGATGTATATAAGAGGAAGTATATTAGATGGTTTTAAAAAGCATCAACTCTACCTCTTTAAAATATTTCTAAAATGCTTTATACTTTTGTCATTCTCCTGGAATTTCTATGTTTTCCTTCTGCTGTCTCAGACCCTGTACAAGAGAAAATCTCAAGAGAGGAACCTGAGCTTATTCTCTTAGGCACCAACTCACCTGAGGTGCCTTGTTTTTTCTGGTTTTTCCTTTGTGTCTTCAAGTGTGCACTTAAAATATCATCTCTGCATCGTTAGTCTTAGGACAGGCAGAAAGTCATCAGAAAAAAAAGGAGGACTATCGAGGAAGTGGTTGTCACTGTGGCTGCAGCAGTGGGTTTAAGCACAGCAGAGATTGCAATGATCAAGCAGTATTTCATTTTGTTTTACAAAAGGTCACTATTAGTCACAGCTGACTCAATGGGACCTAACAGCAATAAGGCACTATAAAGTATGCTTCGTGGTGTAGTGTGTAACATGTTGGACTACTAACTGAAAGGTTAACAGTTTGAATTCACCAACTCCTCTGTGAAAGAAAGATGAGGCCATTTCTTCCTGTAAAGATGGAAAGCCTCAGAAACCTGATTAAAGGTCATCATGAATGTCGAATCAACTTAACAGTAGTGGGTTAGATCTAGTAAAGCATCATAAAATGCATCATGTGTATGATGAGGTGTTCCCCTCCCCCCCCCCGATAGCTCCTTTCTAAAGCAGATATCGAAGAAAGATATATCATGTTGTTACCGGAAAACTGGTCCATCCCTGTGAGTCTTCATTTGCTAAAAATTCAAATTATCAAGTATCTAAGACAAAGTTAAATGGATCTGACATTTCACCCATTCTTCAACAATTCAGAATCCAGAGATTAAAAAAACAAAACTTCTAAGGAAGTCCTATGGGAATTACCAGAGCTGGGAGGAAGTATGAGAACACAGCAGGCCTATAATGAGAAGGTCGTATTTAGCTTTGAGTTTATTCTTACAGGATTGGGAACTTAAGCAGATAATAGTTCTAAACAGGAAGGATCAGACAGCTGCTGGAGCCTCTTAAAAGCTCAAAAGATGGAAGTAGGAATGCTAGATAAAATATAGAATGCTCACTTCAATGTCATTTTTATAGAAATGTTTTTTAGGGTAAATATGAACTTAGAATGACCTCTTGCATCTTGAGGAGGGACACGTATGGAATGCTCAGGGCTCTTATGGCTTTCTTTTCATCCCAAGTGGGTGTCAGCAGATTGGACTTGCCAGATGAATTGGGGGTCTCTAGCCCAGAGTCCACCAGCATTTGGCATGCCAGAATTGTAAAATACTGTAGGGCCCGAGAGCCACATGCCCTCAGGCCTGTTTTTAATTGCTTTTGGTCAAACATTCTTTTAGGTCATATAGCCCTGGGCTGTCCACTTGCTGTACAGAGGTAACTTGTGGTTTCTGTGAAGCTGAGCACTGTGACACTGATGTGTCAAATGCAATAATGGTTACCCATGGTAGACATGTTTGGTGGAGCTCCCCAATTAAAAGTGGCATCCACTTCCAAAATAGCTTTCGTCCAGAAACCCTATGAACCTGGAGAAAGGATTAAAATTATACAGGTGTTCAGGTCTTTCATTCATAGGGTAGCTGTGAGTCGCCTATGACTTGACGGCACTTAACAACAACAAATATATCCTAAATATTGCAGGATATACTTACACTGTATATATTGGTAGTTTGCCATAAATTCGAATTTAACCAAAGACCTGTATTTTTATTTGCTAAATCTAGCAGTCCCAGGTTGAAGTTACAAAGAAAGTAAGTGATAGTGGTAAATCGGGCAACTGTACGGCCCAGCAGTGCTCCAG